TGACATTAGACAGGAATTGTAGCCAGCTGAAATAGCTTTCTAAACCCGCCGGAACCAGTCGATCTGGAGTCCGGATGAGAAAGTTATGCTCGACTTCGTGGACACTACCGAAGATGTTGCGGGGATCCCTCTCTTCTAATTTGATTTTATTTTCCTAATTGCAACTCTTTTCTTACTCTTTCATCATTTTTGCTTCATGGACACCTAATTATCAATTTGTACCTATAGAATACTAAATCCACCAATTAAAACAGAAATATAAATAAATCAATAAAAAAATAAACGTAAACGTGGACTTCGTCTCTTATGGTTCCATTTGCATCATATCTTTTGTATCTTGTGTTTTTGTTGTTGTTTGGTTATGCGTATTAAAGTCCTAGTGTTGTATTTCGTGTTTTTAAGAACGTTGTAGCGAATGCACTTTTGCGCATGTTTTTTAACATGTACGTTTGTGCATGTCCATTCGAGCGAGTGTGTTTGTGCATGTTTGTTGATTTGTATTAATGTCCTAGGATTGTAGTTTGTGTTTTCATGATCCTTTTTGCGAATGCAGTTTTGCGTGAGTAATTTTGTGCATGATTTTGTACTTTTACTTATGTGCGTATCTTTTGTAGCGAGTGTTTTTGTGCACGTTTCTTGATGCGCATTCGTGTCCTCGAACTGTAGCGGGTATTTTCATGATCGCTGTTGGAATCCAATTTTGACCATGTTCGAGTCCGAATTTGGAAATTTGACATTGGACAGGAATTGTAGCCAGCTGAAATAGCTTTCTAATGCCGCCGGAACCTGTCGATTTGGAGTCCGGATGAGAAAGTTATGCTCGACTTCGTGGACACTACCGAAGATGTTGCGGGATCCTCTCTTCTAATTTGATTTTATTTTTCTAATTGCAACTCTTTTCTTACTCTTTGATCATTTTTGCTTCATGGACACCTAATTATGAATTTGTACCTATAAGATACTAAATCCACCAATTAAAATAGAAATATAAATTAATCCATAAAAAAATTCACGTAAACGTAAACGTTGAGTGTTATTTCTACACTCCATTGTATCTTTTGTATTTAGTGTTTTTGCTATTGTTTGGTTATGCGTATTAAAGTCCTAGTGTTGTATTTCGTGTTTTTAAGAACGTTGTTGCGAATGTACTTTTGCGCATGTTTTTTTACATGTACGTTTGTGCATGTCCATTTGAGCGAGTGTGTTTGTGCATGCTTGTTGATTTGTATTAATGTCCTAGGATTGTAGTTTGTGTTTTCGTGATCCTTTTTGCGAATGCACTTTTGCGTGAGTACTTTAGTGCATGCTTTTGTACTTTTACTTATGTGCGTATATTTTGTAGCGAGTGTTTTTGTGCACGTTTCTTGATGCGCATTCGTGTCCTCGAACTGTAGCACGTATTTTCATGATCGCTTTTGGAATCCAATTGTGACTTGGTTCGAGTCCGAATTTGGTAATTTGACATTAGACAGGAATTGTAGCCAGCTAAAATAGCTTTCTAATTCCGCCGGAACCAGTTGATTTGGAGTCCGAATGAGAAAGTTATGCTCGACTTCGTGCACACTACCGAAGATGTTGAGGGATCCTCTCTTCTAATTTGATTTTATTTTCCTAATTGCAACTCTTTTCTTACTCTTAGATCATTTTTGCTTCATGGACACCTAATTATGAATTTGTACCTATAAGATACTAAATCCACCAATTAAAATAGAAATATAAATTAATCCATAAAAAAATTCACGTAAACGTAAACGTTGAGTGTTATTTCTACACTCCACTGTATCTTTTGTATTTAGTGTTTTTGCTATTGTTTGGTTATGCGTATTAAAGTCCTAGTGTTGTATTTCGTGTTTTTAAGAACGTTGTTGCGAATGTACTTTTGCGCATGTTTTTTTACATGTACGTTTGTGCATGTCCATTTGAGCGAATGTGTTTGTGCATGTTTGTTGATTTGTATTAATTTCCTAGGATTGTAGTTTGTGTTTTCCTGATCCTTTTTGCCAATGCACTTTTGCGTGAGTACTTTTTTGCATGCTTTTGTGCGTATATTTTGTAGCGAGTGTTTTTGTGCACGTTTCTTGATGCGCATTCGTGTCCTCGAAACGTAGCACGTATTTTCATGATCGCTTTTGGAATCCCATTTCGACCATGTCCGAGTCCGAATTTGGAAATTTGACATTAGACAGGAATTGTAGCCAGCTAAAATAGCTTTCTAATTCCGTCGGAACCAGTTGATTTGGAGTCCGGATGAGAATGTTATGCTCGACTTCGTGGACACTACCGAAGATGTTGAGGGATCCTCTCTTCTAATTTGATTTTATTTTCCTAATTGCAACTCTTTTCTTACTCTTTGATCATTTTTGCTTCATGGACACCTAATTATGTATTTGTACCTATAAGATACTAAATCCACCAATTAAAATAGAAATATAAATTAATCCATAAAAAAATTCACGTAAACGTAAACGTTGAGTGTTATTTCTACATTCCACTGTATCTTTTGTATTTAGTGTTTTTGCTATTGTTTGGTTATGCGTATTAAAGTCCTAGTGTTGTATTTCGTGTTTTTAAGAACGTTGTTGCGAATGTACTTTTGCGCATGTTTTTTTACATGTACGTTTGTGCATGTCCATTTGAGCGAATGTGTTTGTGCATGTTTGTTGATTTGTATTAATGTCCTACACTACAAGAAAACCGGGTTTTAATAGCGTATGTTTATAGCGTTCTTTTACTAAATGCTATAGTTAGTTATAATAATTTAGAAAACGCTATGATATAGAGCGCACACAATATTTATTTAGGCGCTTCTCTAAAATTAGAAGAGAGATATAAGTCCCAACTTTCTCGCTCGCCTCTATCATTCAGTATTCCAAAAATTATTCAGTTTCCAGACCTCCTTCTATCGCTAACGTCGGCCGTCGATTTGCGCCATCGTCTTGCATTTTGTATCTATGTTCAAGTCACAGCAGGTATATTCAAGAAGAATTGCTCTCTTCTCGGTGTCCAGAACCCTTCATCCGACGTTTCTGAACCATCGTATCTGTCTCTCCCTCTCTCTCTGAAGAGTTGACTGGTCGGCGCCATCTTGCCGGCTATTTGATTTTTCTAGCAATATCTGGTAATTCCTACTCCTTTTTCTTAAATTATCTCAATTTTTCTTTATTTTGCAAAAAACCCTAATTTCTATTCATCTTCTTTTCACCAAATTGGTGATTATTGCTGTAAGTTTTTTGAAGGAATTTGATGTTTTGATATAACCTGGGAAAATCCCTAGACTCCATATTTCTCTAGAAAACAAAATTTTGTTAAGCAAAATTGACAGACTACGAATGTTTGATTATGTACAATAATTATCTTTCGAAGATATACAATAATTTAATTAATTATATACAGCCTACTTAAAATATCCACTATAGATTCAAAAATTGCATTTCAATTGTTGGTTGTTTTTCTCGAGCCATCAAAGTTTCTGTTGATTGGCTGCATTTATGTTAATACCCTTTTTGGTTCAAGAGAGAGATCATGTTGGCATTATTCATGCTTAATCTTTAGATATTTTTACTGTCACGATTTTTTGTAATTATGCTTTGGCTTTAATGGAATAAGCTCCTGAAGTTGGTAGTGGGTAGTGGTAGTAGCTTGGCATAAGGTTATCTTAATTATCAATTCATGGAAAAAAAAATATGCATAATAGATCTTGTTATTGCACATCTTGAAATGATCAGCCTTAGTTTGTAGCTTGTGTAGCCTGAGTGTAAGTTGTTTGATATTCATTGTTCTATGTTGTGTTGTGCTTAGTTGTGTGTTTAAGATTTTTTATTAGCTAATTATTTATATTGATAATTGATGTTTTGTTTATCGATCTTTCTTTTCATTATTAATCACATGTTTCTATTTTTATTTTCATTAGTTATATATAATGTCTTACTTTGCCACATTTCAGGCTACGAACTTAGCAAATTGGGCATAAGTGGTACCTCTTCGATTTTACGACCATTTATTGTATTAACACCTTTCTACACTTGCAATTCCTTTTGGGTGAGAACTAAGTGGTTACCTATAATACTCTATTGTCTTTGCAAATAAAAATAGTTGTGACTCATTTTTTATGATCCTAACAACAAAGATCTGATCATTTTTTATATGCCTAAGATGGATCATATTTATTGATACATAATTGTATCGTATGGCAGTACATGAATCATATACAAAATTAGTATTTCTTGTTCTAGGAAGCAGGGAAAGCTGGACACTGGAGTCAGGATAAGTTTTCATTCATTGAGGGATCAAGAAAAACCAAGGGAACATCGGGTTTTTACTCTTTTTTAGTTTTTTGTTTTCATTTTCCTTTCAAATGATCTGAACTTTTTTGTTTCCTTTTTTTTTCTTTTGATCAACATAAACTTGTTTCTTGGTGCATGTTTATTGTTGCTCACCATTTACAGTTACTCGAAGAAAAAAAGGAGAAATGCATGATAGTAGAATGAGGAATGCTGACAAATCAACTACAAATCGTCCAGACTTGATTTTAAGAATGATGCCATTGCAACAAGATGTGAGTTTCTGAGTTGCTACTGTTGTTTTTTTACATTCTTTCACTATCCATGAATAAACTCTTGGATATATCTCCATTATATTGATGATATATATCCATTAAGGAAGCTGGGAATTGCAACAAGATGTGAGTTTATTATTTCCTAATATTTTATTTTTATTTTTTATAATTTGATACCTTGTGATAATTTGGTACTACGTATTAAGATTTTTATTTTGTTTCCCTCATAGGTACAAGAAGAAACATGAGAGTGGGAAACAAAGTTGTTGCAATTGGATGAGTTGATCTAGTACTTTAGGTTGTAGTGTTCTTTTCTAAAATAAGCATGCAAGTTAAAGTTTAGGCCTTCTGTAATCTAGGGAATGTACTAAATTGAATAAATTAAAAATGTTCCTTAACTTTTATTTATATGTTATGATAATAGAATCTTACAGATAGTTGTTTTCTCCTGTGTTTTATATGTTATTTGATATTTATAAAAAAAAACTCATTATCTATTTACTGTTTTTTATGAAGTATGTTATTTAATATTTTGAACAACAAATAAATGTTGTAAAAAAATATTAAATAATTTTCATGAGATGTTGTTATTGGGTATTATAGCGTTAAGAAAAAAAATTACTCGCCACAATAATAGCATGAGAGAAATGCTATAAAATAAGTAATATAGCGTTTTTGAAGTGTTGTAATACTACGTACAATAGCATTAAAAAAGCGCTGTAAAAAGTGAAATACGATAGCGTTCGAGAAACGCTATAGAAACCCCCGGACTTATTATAGCTCCGCCAGACATAGCGTTTGTAAAAACGCTATAATAGGATACGATAGCGTTTTTCAAACGCTATGGATGAAGGTTTCTGTTGTAGTGCTAGGATTGTAGTTTGTGTTTTCCTGATCCTTTTTGCCAATGCACTTTTGCGTGAGTACTTTTTTGCATGCTTTTGTGCGTATATTTTGTAGCGAGTGTTTTTGTGCACGTTTCTTGATGCGCATTCGTGTCCTCGAACGGTAGCACGTATTTTCATGATCGCTTTTGGAATCCAATTTCGACTTGGTTCGAGTCCGAATTTGGAAATTTGACGTTAGACAGGAATTGTAGCCAGCTAAAATAGCTTTCTTATTCCGCCGGAACCAGTTGATTTGGAGTCCGGATGAGAAAGTTATGCTCGACTTCGTGGACACTACCGAACATGTTGAGGGATCCTCTCTTCTAATTTGATTTTATTTTCCTAATTGCAACTCTTTTCTTACTCTTTGATCATTTTTGCTTCATGGACACCTAATTATGAATTTGTACCTATAAGATACTAAATCCACCAATTAAAATATAAATATAAATTAATCCATAAAAAAATTCACGTAAACGTAAACGTTGAGTGTTATTTCTACACTCCATTGTATCTTTTGTATTTAGTGTTTTTGCTATTGTTTGGTTATGCGTATTAAAGTCCTAGTGTTGTATTTCGTGTTTTTAAGAACGTTATTGCGAATGTACTTTTGCGCATGTTTTTTTACATGTACGTTTGTGCATGTCCATTTGAGCGAGTGTGTTTGTGCATGTTTGTTGATTTGTATTAATGTCCTAGGATTGTAGTTTGTATTTTCGTGATCCTTTTTGCGAATGCACTTTTGCGTGAGTACTTTAGTGCATGCTTTTGTACTTTTACTTATGTGCGTATATTTTGTGACGAGTGTTTTTGTGCACGTTTCTTGATGCGCATTCGTGTCCTCGAACTGTATCACGTATTTTCATGATCGCTTTTGGAATCCAATTTCGACCATGTTCGAGTCCGAATTTGGAAATTTGACATTAGACAGGAATTGTAGCCAGCTAAAATAGCTTTCTAATTCCGCCGGAACCAGTTGATTTGGAGTCCGGAGGAGAATGTTATGCTCGACTTCGTGGACACTACCGAAGAT